GATGTTTGATGTGGCAACACCAAGAAGTGTACTGCCTGTCCTGATTTGTTAAATGTGTGTCACAGATCATTTTTCTTTACAGATCTGCATTAATTTCTGTCCTAAGCCTTAGTAATTGATAGCCTGCCTAGAGAACAGGGTGGAGAAAGGAGAAAATAAACCATTGGAAAATCAAATTTGGTGTGCAAACCCATGTAGGAAACCCATTGTTTCCTCCTGGCATTTCTAATTGTACCATCACCTCGAGCTGGTATTTGTAGAGTTGTTTTCTCAGAGAGAAAGGGTTTCTCCTCTCAGAGAGGTAAGTGGACACACTGAAAACAGCAGGAAATCCTGTAAATTTTTTTAGTGGGTGAGAATATCTGATGTGTTGTTCATCTAAATATTTTATCACTTACTCTCTCTGGGACTCTAGGTCCCCCTTCCCCACCCAAAACTCTGTTGTTGCTGTTTGCTGTCATCACCCTGTACATGCAATAGAGTTGCAACTTGCCAGGTAGATGAATTGCTGGGTCCTTCAGCAACCAGCTGAAAGCTCCCTGGATATTTCACATGGGTTGAAGTGTCTCTGCACTGCTCTTTCTACCCCTCAGCCACCCTGAATGTGTCCTGCAGAAGGACTTGTCCACCACAGAAACACGGGACGAGCAGCACTAGCTGTTGCTGGTAAAGCTGTGTCCGTGCTTTATTTCACCTGGGGGGAGGAGGGACTCACAGCCTGGGAGAAACTGTCTCAGCAGAAGCTGGTGCAAATTGATTATTTAATAATGAACAAGCACAGTGCCTGCTTTTTTATTATTTTTATGCCTATGGAACTGGCACACAATTGGTGTGGTGAGATTACTGCCTCAGGCTGCCCCCAAAGAGCTGCGAGAGCAGGAGGCCATGGGACTCGTGCTGGTTCTTGTTGCATGTTTTAATGAAGCTTTAAAATGCTTGAAGTTGTCTTTGAAATGAAATATTCCATAGCTGCAGTTCAGCTCCAGACTTTGTAATGATTGCTTGGCCAAATAAAGCAGAACTGTGAGGAACAAAGAAAAGTTAAGATTGATGGCTTAGAAGAAAAAGTTTAAATAAAAAATTCATGAAGAAGAGAAATAATAATAAAAAAAAATCATAGCATCACAGGCTTTTACATTAAGATTTCTCTTCCAATGTCTTTCATTTTCCAACTATTACTGTGCATTTTATTCTCTCAGTTTGCTACAAACAGTACAATTTTTTTTTTCTATAGGAATGATAGGAAAAATTGTTACAAACTTAGGCAGAAGCTGGAACATAGAGTAAAATTTTAAAAGGGGTATGCATTTCACTGCCATTCTGAGTGGAGGTATGGTAAACTGTGAATTATTAATGAGTTGGCTGGAATTGCCCTTTTTTAACTCTTAAATCAAATATGACTGAACAAAAAATTCCAGGAAGGATTTTGTTCATAATTGTCAGCTCAGCTTGCACACTTACAGCCTTTCCTCATTCAAATTTACTGCTCTTAGTGGCCATTAATAACAGAATGAATAATATGCTGTGAATAAATCCTCTCATGGTTACCCTTTCTCTCCATTTGTGGATTAAGACCAGCAGATCATCATTTGTGGACACATATTAATGTCCAGAAGTGTCTGACAAGTGTGCAGTTGTTTGTTTTGAGCAAAATATTTTTGAAGTACACCCTCAGGTTTTGTGTTCCTGCTATGACATGAAAAAGCATTCTGGAATGAGTTTAAATTACAGGGCATTTAGGAAGAAAATGCAGAAGATAGTTACGGTGAACAGTAAGATTTCAGGGAAATACCTACAAGCTAGTTCAGGCATTATAAAATATGAATATTACTGTAAAATCTTTAGGTGATGTCTGGTAATAGATATTTAATCTTGCTAAAGCACTTTCATTGCTTACTTGTTAAAGCAATTTAACAGATGAGTGATGCTATTAATGGACCACATGTATAATCCAGACTTTTTATGTTCAAAACATTCCTCTAGGGTTTAAATTTCTAAACATGTTCAGAGGCAATTTGAAGAAATTTAGACTATACACAAGCTGTAGGAAACATAATTTATTAACTTTTCTTAGCATTTCTTCTGCATTTAGAGGATAAAAGAAATCACTGTGCATACATAGATGCAGCTTTAATTGGCTGAGTGATATACCTTGTTCTGATGGGGTTGTTAGAAACCAGAGACTCTGAATGGAAGGATGTTGAGACAGATATGAACAGAGGGCATAAAACTAATTGTAAGTTATCTGAACAAATGTACAGTTCCAGACTTTCCATCACTGTTCGTTTTTTTGTGTTTTTTTTAGTTTTTTTTTTGGAGAGAATTGCATTACCAATGTCTGTAACATAGTTCTTGAAAGAAAATAACACTAAAAGCAAGAAACTCACATTATAGCAAAACCAGTCTTTCTTTCTATCCAAACACTTTGGGATGCTGGAAGAATTGACCTGTAGAAAACAGATTATCAGGTAATAAAAGTAAACATATAAGTTGGTTTTTAAACACCAGTTATTATGATAAAGTCATACTCTTTGGTACAATTAGAGAAGTTCATTGATAATATTGCAGTTTTGCTTTGACTAGGAGTTGATTTTTTTTCCGAACACGTGGCTATGTTTTGCTGAAACTCAAATATCACCTATACAGGAAATCAGGGAAATAGTCTGGTGTAAACATCTCTTTGTCTTTGTGATGTTCACTGCACAGTCACATAGTTCAATAAAGAACTAAAATGTGTTTGTTGACTCCAAGCTCAGCTGTTTCCAAATAAATGTTTGTGAAACCTCCAGCTTTATTAGCCTCATTGTACCATCCAAAAGACGTGCAAGAGAATGAATAGATGACCTTTCAAATAGAGAACAAGCTGTTCACCATGTCTTTTCATTTACTGAGACAAAATACTCTTTTTATGCAGAGATAATACTTTCCACCATTTTTAACAATGTTGGGTAGGATAAAGAATTTAATTGTTTCGCTTCTGAGTGCAAGGGATTTAACCTATGAATCCTTAGATCAAGACTCTTTCTAGACCAGCAGTGTTAAATGCATTGAGCTAGACAGACTTATTTTAGTTTTTTTTTTAAAGACTCTGGAGGTATATTGAATCCCATGCTCACAGGGTGGGATGTCATTAGCTAGCCATCCATGTTTATCCACGTGACATCTGTCTGTGAATGATAAATGGATGAAATCTCATTGCCATCGTGCACTGCAGCTATGGGATCAATCATTTACTGATAAGGTCCAAAGCAGCTGTAACAAAAATTATACTAAATTATTGTGAAATTGCAGTCTTGCTGTGGAAAGCTGTTGGGATGCTCTCAGTTCCACAATTGTACAAAAGCACTAGCTTGGGCTGGAACAGGTCACAAACAAATAGGGAGAAAATTAGGACATGGAAATCAGGGCTCAGCCTTGTCTTTCTCATGTGAGGTATGGCTTGGCCTTTAGTGTTTGCAGTTGTAAATCCACCAGTTAAATCACATCTTAGCGGAATTGGTGCTATCCAATAACAACAGATTATACTGGTAAAATATTTTTGCTCTACAATATAACTGAAATCACTTCTGTTATTGTTCAGCCTCTGTCCATGTTTCTGTTCTTATCTGAGAAAAAACAGAGCTGTTCTCTTGTTAAAGGGAGCACAGTATATTTGCTGAAATTAACAGAAATACAGTCAAAAGGAATCCCTCAAAACTTGAGGAAAATCTCACCATTTCATCTCACCAGGAAAAAAACCAATCCAAAACCAGAGAAACAAATAGAAACATTTTTATCATGTGGTTACAATGACCAATTACACTGTCTGTTTGCACGAAAGAAAATATTTCGCTGTGTGAACCAAATACTCTAGATCATGCATTGTGCATGAATAGTTTTCTAAAATTGGAATCAAATTTGTTTAAAAATTTTATAATAAGTTCATTTGGAAGGGACCTGTGAAACCATCAGGTATAACCTGTGCTGGAAACAGCTTCAGTAAGACCAGGATGCTCAGAGCTTTGCCCAGGCAAGCCCTGAATATAGTGATGTTGGAGACTGTGCCCATAACCTGTCATGTTGGGGAAAAATAAGAACCTTAATCTAGACAAATTTTCTTTTGTTGCTATCTCTGATGGTCTCCCCATATCGTTTTGTAGCACACCTCCAGGAAAAGCCTGGCTTGGTCTTACCTCCGTTCTGCCACTGGGTTTTTGAAGGCCACCATCAGATTACCTTGAACCTTGTCACCCAAGAACAAACCCAGTGCTTTCACTCCAGTGATGTGTGCTGTAAAGGTTTGAAAAAATCCTAAAAATAGTGTGACATGGGAATAGGAATGAAAAAGGTTACCCTGAAATCTGAAGCTGGCTATTTGTCCTGACAACGTGAGGTGCTACAGCTTCAGTGTGTAGGGATGGTCTGTTAGCAAGTACCTTCAGCCTGGATTTGTAACACTGATAGAAACCAGGAGGAGAAAAGGCCTTTATTAATACAATTGAACAGAACTTAAAGAAAACTGGTCAGCACTTAGAGTGATGCCCACAAGACTAACCAAGCACCTAAAGATTTGAATATATTTATTCCATGGTTCTCAACTACTGTGCTGTGATGTTTTAATCACAGTTCATGGCAATTCTAGTTTTTTTTCTTATTACTAAAAGCTATTCTTCTGAATTTCCAGAAGGAGCTAATGTGTGGAAAGGCTGTGTTGTGTGCAGCTGAGCTAACCAGGATGGCAGTGTTTGTTATGAGGACTCTTTCTTACTGGTTCCTGAACTATGATGAATTATTTTGTGCATACTTGTGCCTGTTGGAGCTTTGGGAACTGAGGATACACTTGTTAAATAAAGGGACTGCTCTCTGCAGTGGCAACACATTGTCAACTTTTTGAAACTTAAAGGTTTATGTATTCTGTATTCTTTGGGCCTCTTTTTTAAGAGTGGGGGTCCTGTTCCTGCCATGTAGAGTAACAGGAGTAGATACTCTAGATACTCTCCTCCTGCTCTTGCTAATGTATTGTACCCTGGGCTTTTTTGTCTTCCTCTGCAGAAACTCTCCTGGATGACTTCCTTCTCACATACACGGTTTTCATGACGACTGATGACTTGTGCCAGGCACTCCTGAGGCAATATCCTTTTACTGAGTGTTGTATTCATGGGAGTCACATACCTATTGGTAGTTTTATCTATTGTTGAGCCTTATATCAAAGGTACATGCCTGAAACAGATGCTTAACTCATAGCAACACTGCAATTTTATGTCAGCTTTGATTAAAGATAAATAAACTTTTATAACTATGTCAAGGTAGAATTTAAATTTGGGTTAAAACCTCCCCAGGTTATGTTAATTCATAGAATACCTACATGTGCATAATGCATTTAAGAATGTTTTTCTCCTTGCCTAAGAATACACAAGGAGAAAAAATAAAGAAAAAATAAGGAATTTTACAATCTCTGCTCCTTTTATCATGTAATATGGGTATAAGTCTTAACTCATTATGAGATAAAAGAATTTATTTTAATGTGTTTCTGATGACTTCCATAAGCTACAAAGCTATGGACCAATGTTTGAATAAACTTGTGGCTATAAAATGAACTGTTTGTTAGGTTCCGTGTTTGTTTTTTAAAATCTTTTCCCTGTCTTTAATTTTTGTGGTGAAAACATCAATTTTTTACCTTATAAAACAAAGAACCACAAAGAGACAGGAACAGTGTACAAAGTGGGTATCTTCTGACACTTGGTGCTTCTGCCTTAAGAATAGAAACAATGGTAGAAATGATCTTTCACTTCTCTTTTTTTTTTTAATTTTTAATAGTGTCACTTCTGCAGATAGTGTAATTTGTACAGGCAAAAAGAATCTGACTTCCTTTGCCTGGTTTTTGTGTTATTGTTAATAGTGCTTTGTCTTCCTTCCCACAAACATTAATGTTGGCATTGGTTTGCAGGACAAAGGTTCATTCTCAGTTCTACAGAAAAGATATGACTAAACATTGTATAATTCCTTTTGAATTGATTTTATTTTTATAGACTCACCTCTCTAATCTGTAAGGGAAAAAAAATCATGTTGGCACACAGGATGAATTGACATTCCTATTACTGAGAATATAATTCCCAAGAGTTATGAAACTCCTAAAGCTCCAGACAGGATAAAACCTTTAAAACTGAGTAATGCAGAGGAAAAAACCCTTTCATTAGCAAATGAGATTATTGCAAAGTCTTTGCCAGCAGTTAATTTTAAAGTTTCTTTGAGATTTTATTATATGTTCCTTAACCTACTGCACCTATTGTGCTAAGAACCACCAAGGGAAAGAAGATGACTCTGATGTGTCCTGTAGGAAAAGAAAAGTCTTGCATTTGGTGTCTCAGTGGACTTCTCTCTACAAAGACTGGTTGCATGAAGATGAGCATTTAAAACAATTTTTAAAGGTATGAAACAATTTCTGTCATGCATTTCAGCACTGTTTAATTACATACTGTGTCTAAAAAGCCCCAACAGCAAAATCTATAAAACATATTTTTTCACACTTAGATCTTCCCCATGAAATCTATAATATAAAATGATTTACACGTGTCTTCTTTAAATGCCTTATTTTAGCTGGTTTGAACAGAAATTCTGTATTGTCAATACAGTCAACATTAAAAGCATTACTTTAATGTATAAAACTTATGGAACTCCTGTGGTCTCTAAAAAATGGGAAAAGTTAGGAAGGTAAGAAATAAAACTACAAAGATGTGGAGGTTTCTCGTCTGTCAGAATAGGATTTGCAGTTGGTATCAGAGGATCATGGACATAGAGAGTTTTGAGGTGTGTTTAAGATGTTATTTTGACTGAGAGTGAAATCCTATTCCATGGTGTTTGCTGGGTGGACATGGAGAACAGCATAGCATTATGTATTTTTGATAAATAAAATTTTGTTCCTTGTTAGCAAAGTTCTTCTCATATTTCTGTATGAATTCAAAAAGCTCTTATAATTCCCTTGTTAGTTTGAAAATAGTGCTGTTGTTGCAAACCTAAAATCAATCTGGTTACCGATTTATTTTTCAATATATACTTTTTCCCTGCTGGTTGAAAAATTAGAGTATTTTAGGAAACTTTGCAGTATCTTTCACTTGCACTGATGAGACTCTCTGTCTGTGACTGGAGATCTTCTTAAGGGTCTTTTATCTCTTCAGTCACTTGCTCAAGACAAAGGCAATGTGGAGAAAATCTTGAGATTCCTTGTTTTGTTTGGCTTTGTTTTTTAAGTAGGGCACAGTGCATATGGAAGCAGAGACCATAGGATTTTTGCTGTTTGGTACCAGATGTGTATTTCTGTACTGGAAAGGGGACATCATGTCAGGCATCAGTTTCTCTGAGTTTCACCTGCCTGCATGCAGGGCTTTCTGGCCATGGAGGTGTGTGACTGTGCACTGTCTCACAGTTCCTCCTCTGGAAGCTTGTGTGCAATATTAAACAGCAGTAATGTTAATGATGGTTGTAGTTACATGTGCAAAACCAGCATACAGGGTTGTAGGCTAAAATCAGTCATGCAGAAATCTGTGAACAGAGGGCTAAAGCAAACCTTGTGACTCAGCTGATACAAATGATCCTTGTTTCCTTAGAAGGGAAAGAGAAGGATCTGTGTGCAGATGTGGAAAAAGAGCAGAGAAAATATTACCTAGAATTTCATTCATGACAATGGTGTCCCCCAAAATTAAAAGTAAGGTTTATTTACATATTAGTTTACAGCTAGGGGGAGTTGTGGGAGACATCAACTCAGTTTAAGATGCATACAAATGTGAGGAAAGGTAAAGTAGAATATTTGCCATTTTAGAAGTCTTAATCTAATAAACCTGTTTGTTATCATTTTGGATAAGTGATGATGGTGTGGTGTGCTGTCATGCTTCAAAATGTGTTATTCTGACCTGACCCAGGTTTCATGCAATAGCCACAAGTGGTGTTTTAAATTTTTGTAGACAAAATAGTACAAGCATTTCACTCTCTCTTTTGGTACACAGTACTAAGAGTGTTTCTCCAAAGGCAAGCTGAATATTGACCAGTCTGGAAATTTAAACAGGAACATTCTCTCCTTACAGGTTTTGCATAGATATAATGATAAAACTTGTTTTAGTAGGATAGTGCCTGAATTGACTTAGACCACTGATGTGTTGCCTCAGATTAATGTTTGAGTTGTCAGATGTTTTATGATACTGCTTTGTTTTGTAGACAATATACAGAAATGTGTTAGATGATGTGTATGAGTATCCCGTTCTTGAGAAGGACCTGAAAGAATTTCAGAAGATACTTGGGATGCATCGCCGCCAGTAAGTATTGATTATATTTGTGATCAAGTCTTCTTTTATTCAGAGTGTAATTTATTTTTGTTGCTAACTTTCTGTGATTCAATGAAGTGATGAGTGATACAAGTGGCATATTCAGTTTTACAAATCATCTCTTCTTAAAACTAAAGCCAGATTATTGAATTTTTTCTGATGTTTGTTGGGCAGTGTTTGTGATTCAACATTCACTCCCATCAATTCCATTTGGAGTTACTTACAGACAGAGCAATAGTCTGTAGAGAAGCTGGCAAAAATTCCTGAAGTTGCAGTCTGTGACTTCTGATGTTATCTTCATTCTCTCTGCAGTACTGAGAAGCAAATCACTTGGAATAGCCATCTCAGAGTCACTATTTTACTATTATGACATCTATAAAAGATATTTAATTGTCATGTTTTTCCAAAAAATGGAGGTTGTTTCTATGGTTTGGCCATTGGGGAAGTGGAAGGAGCTGTGTCCTTGAGGGTGTGACCCTGTGATTGCCTACTCCAACAGCTCATGGGGCTGGCAGCATTGTTTTCACTACATTGATTATGTAAGTCAAAGGAAAGTTCTCTGGCTGAGACAGATGCCTTTAGTTTTTCCTGAAGAACCCTGCAGCCTTTCTGCAGTGACCATTTACTGTTAAAAACTTTCTGGTGTTGTAAAGTTTGTTATAGCTAAAACTTCCTTTTCCTAAGCTTTGGCTGGAAAGAATAATTGTGATTTTCCTTTTTGTTTCAGCACTGTAGATGAGTATTCACCTCATCGAAAGGTAATGCCAACCTGGTTGTTGCTGATAGCTAGATAACTTACCCTCTCACTTTTTTTTCCCCCTTCTGCCCACTTTCTTCTCTTTTCTTGGCTTCTTAACTGAACGTGACTGGTGACCAAAAACATGACAGGACACATCAGTGAGGTTAGACCTGCAGTGCTGCTTAAGGAACTCTTTTTTTTCCCTGTGAGTGCATCCTGGATATCAGCAGTGTGAGCTAACCTGCAGTGGCTGTGGCAGTATTAGCATGTTAACAAGATGCTTTGAGATGTCAGAATTCAGGAGAGGCCTGGGAGTGTGTCCCCACTGAGCTAGAGGGATGTAGCAAGCTGGGCAAACCAGGCTGAACACAGGCACTGACATGGATGTCAAGTAAACAGAGCAAAGGGCAGATTTGTTGTGACAGGGACAGACAGAAAGAGAGGAACATGAATCTGTCTAACTGGAGGAAGAAGTTGAAGCCAGAGGAAGCTGGCATACAAACTGCTCAGAGGTGAATTGCTGTGCTCGTCAGTTTTACTGGGCTGAGGCTGAAGTGTGTAATAAGCTTAAAATGTTACTGCAAAAATGTGGAAGGCAGAACACAAGATGGTAGTGAAATTGCTATATAGGCTGATTGGTACATAGGAAATGTATATAAGAATAAGTGTATAAGAAATGGGCTCTGAACATGAATACAGAAAACCTTGAATTGTGCTGGCTGCTTAGCCTTGGCATGTCCTGCTTCCTCCAAAATCCCCACCTTGGCCATTATTTAGTAAGGCAACTCCCAGTTTACTGCTCCAAGAAAGGGTGTGTGTACTTCCTATACAGAAACCTTTTGGCCAGACATATGGGTTAAATGCTGTATTCTGTGAATTACTCATTTTTGAACAGCAAGAATGCAAAAAAATCACTTTTGTTTTTTTTTCCTTCCTTTCTTTCTTTTCCACTCCCTCACAGAATAAAACCTTTTTCCACCAGTTCAGTGTAAAGGAGAACTGGCTGCAGCACAGAGGAACCATGAATGAAACAGAAGAAAGTAAGTATAAATGAAATAGTGGAGGAAAAGCTCAAAAACAATAAAATTGTTTCTCAAGGACTTTGATGTAAATATTCTTTAGCTGTCATATAGCTTTTGAACAAGACCTTAGGGACACGAAAGAAGAAATATTTGGCTGTGCAAGTTTACCTTCCTTCCTTCCTTCTGGTTTGCAGGGCTCAGCAATGCCCTCATGGTATTTCAAGGGGTTTTTGCCCTCTCCAGTTCCTGCAGCACCCCTGTCACAGTCCTGAGTGGATCCCAGGTGTGCTGGCAGCCCGTCCACCAGGCATTACTTCTGCTCCATTTCATGCTCCCAGTCTCTTGACCTATATCTTGGTTGTGAAAGGGGAATGAATAAGCCTGTCACATGAAATGGGCCAGGATCTGCTAGCTCTGGGAATGTGCCTTAGTTCCTTCTCTGCTCAAAAACCTCTCTGCATGGAGTGCAAGGTGCCACTTCACTTTAATGTCAGCCATTTCAAAAGGCAATTTCCCTCCATCACTGCAAGGCAGTGAGGCTGTCACCCGCCTGTAGTGCCTGGGCGAGGAAGGAGGCAGAGAGAACACTGTGTACGAGAGCAGGGAACAGCAGAAGGACCTCCTACCTGGCAGCCTTGCTCTTTGACAGGATGTCTTCATTTCTTACTGGGAACAGAGCTCCGGAAGTTCACTTCAAGTCAGTGTATTTTTAGTGCTCATTTGTGACAGAATAGAAACTGAGCTTGTTCTATGCCAGGTCGAAAGACTTGCACAGTACGTGCTGCTGATAGATAACCCTCTTTTTGTGCTCCAAATGTAGGGGGTTTTGAGGTTTATGTTACCAAGGCTTCTTCTAAAAATGTTATTTGTGGATGAGAACCCCCACACTCCTTCTTTCAAAGCTGGGTACAGCTTGTGGGTGACTGGAAAGGAACTGACTGGACAGTCACCAGGACAGGACCCAGCAAGGCCAGTCCCAACTGAGTTAGATTGCTTTTATCTCACTCCTTGAGAGCAGGAGCCATGGACTATGATGGGATTGAAGAAATGAAATAGCCAGAGTGAAGTTGGGGAAGTGAGAGACAGATGCAGAGGGTGGGTATCTACCTCTGTATGGTGGAGTGCTGTCTGACTGATGGTGCTTGTGGAGGATATGTCTGTCCAAGCTGCACCATGCCACTTGACCAGACGTGTTTTATCCTCTATTGCAGTCATTACCAGGGCAGCTTGCAGCCCATGACCATCTCCTTCCACTGGTATTCCCTCCTTCTCACAGAGAAGCAGCACAGGTTCCTGGAAGAGATGACATGGTCCATCCCAAGAGATACCACAGATAGAACATTGGAAAGGTGTGAGGGGGAGAATCACAACCACTGTGGTGGTTTGTGCTTGAGCATCTGCCCTGATGTAGTTCTGTGTTAAAGAAAGGATAGATCAATAGCCCATTTATAAACTGACATTGCTGTCATTGTCCCTTTGCAAATGACAGAGAGGACATTTCAAACAAATTCACTGTAAGCAAGGTGTGTCAGTCTGCATATGGAGTCCAAATATTCCTGTCAGATTTTTTAAAATTTATTTTTCCAACTAGTAATTTAAACTGTAGTTGGATGTCTCTATCTTCGTGATGTGTATCCATTCTGATAAAAGATTCTGCCATGGAATGAGCATCTCATTTACTCTCTGTCAGGAGAGATGGGTTAAAAAGGAATTATAAAATCAAATTACTATTTTCCCCTAATACTCAATATTAAGTTCCGTGCTTCATTCTCATATTCATTTTTTTCTTTACTACATCATGGAAAAAACCCAACTCTCAAGGACAGAGTTCTTAACTGCTTCTGGCATAGTCTTCACTAATGAAAGTGCCCTGAAGCCATGAAGATCTGTAGAACAAACAAACAGCTATTGCTACATGCATCTGTCAATAAAGATAATAATAAAAAAAATACAACGGTTCTGGAGAAGAAAAGTTGTCCTGTATCTGCATGGTAGCAGCCTGTCTCTAATAGGAAGTGCTGTAGTAGAAGGAAATTGAAAGTTGAATTAAGTACTGAAGTGAAACCAAAGCTCTGACGATTCTGATTAGCAGATGTAATTTCCAAAATATTTATGCAAGTCTGCAGCTCAGTTTCTTCTGCTTTAAGTGTGGCAGCCGTGTTTCAAAGAACTAGGTAGGGCAAACTCAGCAAAAGATGTAAACTTAAAATTCTGGCAGGCAGAGAGAGAGTACATCTCTTCTGGTAGCAGAAAACAAGTAATCTCTGAGCTGACCACATAGACCTCAGTGGAAGTAGTGAGCCCAGGGAATTTCTCCAAAGCAGTCCCATTTATATGTGCTGCTTGTGATTCAGGAAATGAGATGTCAGAACTGATTGTATGGCCGTTTGGGCAGTCTCTGCTGGTGCTGAAATACTCTGGCAATGCAATTAGTTTAGATGTCTAGACAGATAAGCTATCAGGAGTGGTTGAAAACCTGGGAGCACTGTTCTTGCAAAGCTTCCTGTTCCAGGTAGAAATGGAGACCCAAAATAATTTCTCCAGCAGATAGAAAATATATTGAAAGGACAGTGGTTTACCTGAACCTGAAATGAAGGGAGAAAAAATGGCAACAGCCAAGTTTCAGAGAAGATAGGCAGTGAAGGAGGTTTTCTGTGACAAATCCGCAGGGTAGGAAGCCTTAAACTGGTATTACTGTGGGAATCTATATTTCCATTTGCCTGCCTCTCTCATTTCCCAGGGATGGGAAGCTGGGGAGGGGGAATGATGTTTATGCTTAGTTTCATGTCCTTTGTGTCAGGGTGCAGTGACTGCCCTTCCTGCAGCAGCCAGGCAGCTGAGGCACTGCTGAGGTGGGCTCTGCGAGTTTGTTCCTTGCCCTGGTCAGCTCATGCCTACAGCTGAGCACTTCTTTCTCCCTTTGTGCAGTTTTCTGCCGTGTGTATATAACAGAACACTCCTATGTCAGTGTGAAAGCTCAAGTGTCAAGTTCAGCTCAGGAGATACTGAAGATCGTGGCCGAAAAGATCCAGTACCCGGAGGAGGAGTTGGCGCTGGTGACAGTCTCGTTCTCTGGTGGTAAGTAACTCCCCTTCATCTGATCACTTACCTTTTATTGCATCAGGTAAGGGAGGGCTGACATTTTCTGATGCAAGGATACAGCTGTTCCTCTATGGGCCCACAGCTGGATGACCAGGGGAACAATGAGGAGCTGCTTTCCAGAGACTTGTTTCCATGGCAACAGCTCCTTCTTGGGTACTGTGGGATGTAGCATCTCCTGCCTGGGAAGGGAGTGTAAAGAACTCTCAGTCTCCAGCAGTATTGCAAGGTTTTATTTCTTTTCCACAGATGAATCTCCTATTTTGGAATTTAAATTAATTTTGAAGGCAATGAGGCATGTTTTGCTTTAAAAACAGAGAAGGGAATAGCAAATTCTTTGTGCATTGCTGTTTCCTCATTTATGGCATAGGTAACAAATATTCTTGAGCTGAAAGGAGGAAGACATATATTTGCACAATTGACATACTGAGAGCAATCTCAGCAATATTTTGTAGGCAACAACTGATGTCTTTTGCCAATTGTTTTAGTGTTAGTCGTTAAATAGAAGGGCTTATTGTCTTTTTAAAGAAAGACTAGAGTGACAGTGGAGTGATACCAGGGACCAGCCAAAGTCGCAAGAACTTCTGTGGTGTCTGTCAGTTCTCAAGTTCCTTGGAAAGATTGTTTTGATTGCTGTGGTGTTTTTTGGAAGCAGTTTAACTAGGTGCATAGAACTGTGAAGCTGTATCTACAAAATATCTTGTCAATATTCTCAGATAACAGTTGCTGTTGACCCCCTAAGACAAAAGATGCATCTTTTAAGTCACAGCACTCATTGCTTCCTCTTTGTTAGTCTAGTTAAATGAAATACGCACAAGTGCTGGCTTTTTCTGTTTATATCTTTGATTCAAAATTGGAAGGTCACATTTTTTCCCTCATGCTGAGCTCAATTAAATAAATGTATTTTTAAGAGCACTGGTGTGGGTAGCAGGGAGATGGTGCCCTGCTCTGGCTGTTGAGATCCTGGGCACAGAGCAGCCATTGGGAGCACTACAGGTGGGTGTCCTGGCCATCCAGGCTACATCATTTTCAGGCATACTCTTTTTACCCTTGTGTGTGCCCAAACTCACCTCCAGTGCACATTTCATGTGTCCAGTACACATTTCACAGCACTGCAAAATCACCTTGCTGTTGTTATTTTTCAGATCTTGTCTTTGTCTCCTGTTCAAGAGCAGGGCAAGTTTTGCTCTGATAGCAATAAATCTAGTTCTAACTGCCTGCTTAGCTAAAGAAAACCAACCATTCATAAATAATGAAACATACTATATTGGTTCCCAGGAAAGCCACAAAATAGAAGTGGTTGCCACTTGGTTGTTCAATGAGAAGTAGTAAATAAAATGCAGGTATAGTAGGAAAGCCATTTGTACATGATTTTTATAACCCCTAAAATGTTATTTAGTTACATTGCCTGAGTTAATTTGATACAACAATGTCAGTTTCTTCCTTCTTATGGATCCTGTACTGCAAGTAATAAACACCAACCTGCTATGCTTTTTTTTCTGCTTTGTGTTCCTGCTGTTTGTGTCACTTAGAACTCTTGTCTTTCATCCACTTGGAGGGCAACAGTATGAGCATTGGAGAACCTGTTTTTATTGTACTCCAATAATGGATAAGCAAGCACTTTATTCAAAATTACCTTGAAAAAACATAATGATAGTTCAGCATAATGCGTGTGTGTATCAATGGATAAGTGAGCATGGATAAAAGGGAACACTGTCTGAAATTATGTTTAACTCTCAGATTCCTCCTGGTCCTACTCCCCATGGGCAATGCAGAGTCCAGGGTAGCTGTCAGTGTGCTCAGTGTAGTTTTGGATCTACCATGTATCAGGTCTCCAGAGGATTACTTGGAGCCCTCTGGAAGGGACAGTTTTTGCAGGGCAAAAGCTGTGTTTGGAGTTTTGCTGTATTTTCCTCCCACCTTTCTCTAGTTCATTCAAGAATTCTGCAGAGCTGAATCAGTACTCTGGACTGGAGGAAAAATAAGTCCTTTCTCTTTGCTACCAGTGTCCTGCTCTTTTACTCAGATATTTCCTAAATTAATTACTCTAGGTCTAGAAGAATTACCATAAATACTGTGTTACAAAGGACTGCTCGGATCTGCTCTGTGAATTTCATGGTGTTGGGATCTTTAAACTTCTTTTCCTGTTGAGTGGCTGTGGCTACTCATTAAATCTCCACCCCTGGTTTTGTCTCCAGTGACACACAACAGCTCAGTCTCTGGAGGCTGAGACACTCAGCTCTAACAGTCATCTGTATTCATTTATACTAGATACACTGGGTCGAAATTAAATGTTGAAATTAAATGAAAAGGCATACGAGGCTAGACCAGATGATTTCAAGGCTTCTTTCTGTTCTATGTGAAGTGCAGTTTGAAAGCAGAAGCAGGAAGCTTTTGTGCTCTCGTCCATCAGAGGTATCTTGCCTTTATCTTGCCTGAGCAGGGTGGAAATGATGGGTCCCCACAGAGACTGAATTTGATGCTTAGTTACCTTCTAAGAAGTTGATGTGGCTTTACAAATACTATTGTACCTTTATTTCTCATATACAGCTTTTATTCCTATTCTGAAACTTCTTTGGATTTTTGCTGTCTTTGCAGAAAAACATGAGCTACAACCAAATGATCTGGCTATCTCAAAATCTTTGGAGTCATCCAGTCGTATGTTTGTATACCGAAAAGATCTGACTGATTCTTTGGTAAGGATTGGTATTGTGTATTTCCCATTTTTTGTTTGCTTAACTCCAAATCAAAACCTTAGTATTCCTCTCAGAGGGCTTTTTCAATGCAGAATTTATTTTTGGCTTCCTTAGTAAAGCTTACTGAGCTGCTCTATTCCTAAAAAAAAAAAAAATCTTTCATTAAGAGCAGTTCTTTGACTGAACAGTAATGGAAATTGTTCATCAATTTTAAATAAACCAAAGCTTCTGTGCAGCTTAAATCTTTCAATCTACATCAGCCTGGAAAAGCTGACCTGTGTTTGTACCAGAATGAATGGGATGAGGATTATTCAGGGCTCTTGTGACTCTTTCCTCCCCACCCTGCCTTGTGCCTGTGTAACACTTTGGCTGACATAATCATACAAAGTGGTGGACAAAATCCATGAAATTACTACATGTGGAAGTAGATGTCATTGTTTTGTGAGTTCCACAAGACCCATGAGTGTGACCCCAGTGTTGTGGCAGCCACACAGTGGTGTGTACCACTGGTGGTGTGTTCTCCTCCCTTCCTTCTGCCTCTCTGTCTCCCCATCCTCTCACCGGGGCTGGGAAGGTCAGTGGATTGAGAGGCAGCAGATCTCCCTCATCCTTCCCTCTGCCTCCAGAAACCAGAAACTCTCTCCCTCCATGCCTTCCCCAAACCTCAGTGAGGCAGGCAGTCAGGCACTTTGCCGATTCAAGAGTTTTCTGCTAATTATGCAGATGTTTCCAGGAAAGAGTAGGGGTTGTATCGCAACTGACTTCTACATCTACCTCTAGGACCTGTGCACTCATCCTCAGGATGAGAAATGTCTATTTACATTTTATTGGATCAATGTGCCCCTATCCTGACATGCCACTATCATTGCAATCTGTCATCCCCGTTATCTCCAGTGTTTGAGCCCTCTCTAAAAATGTGAATATCAAGGGAAGGTTTCCAGCCTAGACAGGTGACAGCCAACCTGGTTTCATTAGTTATGTAATAAAAATTGCAAAACTTACTGTAACTGTCAGAAATACAGCACCAAAGTAATGGCTGAACTCGTTAGAATAATCTTTCATCTTGGCAGATGATTCATGTGCCAAGTTTCAGACTGATGAGTTTAAAAAAGCCAAGAGAAATGCAAAACTTTGAAAATCCCAGCTAATAATGGAAATGTGGAATGGCCCTGAACACCAGCAGTACCACAGCACTCCACACTAATATACTAAATAACTTTTATGCATCAGAACCCATGGCATTTTATTCTTTGTTGATTATATTTGGGGTAGATTAATCATAGAATGTATGGATTTATGTGATTCGTAAAAGTGCAATGGAGGGAAAGTTATGTGTACTTAATCCAGTGTGTTTTCAGAATGATTCTTTTATATCAGAAAATTTCCTGATGTCTTAATTTAGATTTTATTTTCTGATAGTCTGAGGGATTTTATTTCCATTATGCTGTCTGCTTGGCCAGCGTTTTATATTCAAGGTTGGGAGAGGGAGACAGAAGGAGAGGGGGAGAGGGCCTCACTCTCCAAAGCAAATCATTGATCCTATTGACCCATTTCCCATTTCAGGCTATTTATTAAATAGGTTATAGCTCCTTCATTTTGATTAGTGGGGGAAAAAGCCCTCAGAGTGCACTTAGAGAACATTACCTGCTCAGATCAGCTCTGTTTGGTACCTTAGTCCAGTAACTGATTCCTTACAGAACCTTTGGCATTTCTTGAGGAATTTGTTTTGCACTTGTCTATTCATTTAGAACCCGTTTTCTGAAAATGAGGAATTGCAGCAAAGATCTGTGAGGATTTTGGGAATTAACACCTGGGATCTTGCCTTAGAGCTAACAAACTTTGACTGGAGCCTCTTCAATGCAATTCACGAGGTAAGAAGCACCACCTCCTCTTCCAGGTGTATTCCTGTCATTGCACCATTGTGATGCATTTTGGAGCATTGGCATGCCCGGGTGCTTGGTTCACTGTCATGACAGCATGATTTGGCAGCTCTCAGTAGTGGTGACAGGTCCAAGGGGTATCTTGCAATCCTTGAGACTGAGAAGAATTGTCAGAGGTTTGTAACTTTCCTGTGTTCAGGCATCTCCTACGTTCCCTGTATACCTGATGTGTTTTATTGAGGTTTGCCTCAGGAGAGTAAAAGACCATGATTATTTTCTAAATCCACCCCCCCATACAAAAATATGAATATTTTACATATGCAAAATGTCCTATGCACTTGATAGTGTTTCAGTAAATATGGGATTCCACAAATAGCTGTCTTTCATATCACTTTAGCCACAAAAGAATTCACAGTTTCAGCAATTCAGATGGTCACATTACTATTCTTGTTAGGCTTCAGTGGGATGAAAAATACTGGGAAGGCTTTATTAAATGAGATAATGGAGCACTTCAGGGCCCATTGGGTTGTTTCAATGACTTTGATAGGTTCTGGTTTGAGTTACTGAGTAAAAGACACGGTTAACAGTAGAAAATCTCTCTTGAAAATACCGTTTACTGAAAAGCATGTTTGCCTTCTGAGAAAATGAATGTGAAATTCCCTTGCTTTTCACCAGATGCATTCATTTGGGGTTCTTTTATTCAGTTTTTACACTTTAAATTTGAAACTGGACAAGTTTGGGTTGTTTTTTGTTGTTTTTTTTTAAATGAAATCAAGACCCAAAACTCCAATGATTAAAAATTTGCTAATACAGAAACAAGTTTGAATGGAAATTTTTCGGATTCTGCAGCGGTTTGATATGGCTGCTTTTTCATACTGGAACAGAAGTAAAGAAATACAGAAATAAATTGTTTATGTCTTATACCTGGCTATAGCCAGAAATGGAACCTTGGGAATTGTAACAAGAAGAGCACATCTTGCAGGATTTCCAGTCCATTTGCCTTCTGTAACAAGTCTCTAGATTTTGCTGATCACAAACCTGAATCATTTGTGATTGGCTCATGGATAATGAAAAATAACCATTTGTGACCAGACCTGGTTTCAAAAACATACTTCTAAATAATTTATAGTTCATTTATATTTAAATTGTTTTTATATCCCCAATGATGTTGTCAATGTCTTTCAGCAAGAGCTGATATACTTCACATTCAGCAGACAAGGCAGTGCTGAAAACACTGAGAATCTCAGTCTTCTGCTTCAAAGATGCAACGAGGTCCAGCTTTGGGTTGCCACAGAGATACTCCTCTGTAGCCAGCTCTGCAAACGTGTCCAGCTAGTGAAAAAGTTCATCAAGATTGCTGCCCAGTAAGTTCCTGGTGTTGCAACAGAAGTCTTTGAATTCAAATGATTTGTTTGGCAGGAAGTAGGTGGAGAAGCAAGGAAAGAAAGCTAATTTGTCATCCTGTGTTTTGATAGTGTAAATATAAATAAATAAAACAGTCCATAGATAACAAGAGCAGAGCTTGCTCCGAACTAGACATGGTGGAGTGTGTGCTGCTCAAATCTCCCCTGGCAGCTTAGCTGCTGTGTCTGCAGTGTCTGCTGCAACATCCCTGGTGCTGCAGAGATAGCTCCTTCTTAGCTGAGATAACCTGAGCACCATATGACAGAACTATTTTGGCAGCAAAACAGTCACACAAGACTAGATAGAAACCAAAACACTGTTATGAACTTCAAAGTCCTACCTCTAGAGAGGAATACAACTGCAATAAGCTGTTGTCCCATGTAATCCTCTCTGGAGTATTCTTTTACTTCTTGGAGGGGCTTTTTCATGTGTTAGATTTGACAGTCTACTCTTTAACTGTTACTAAATAGTACTGGCATTTATTCTGTGTCTTGCAGCAGAATACAAATATATACTATACACAGAGAGTTCTTTTCTCTGTAATCACTCTTTGTCTGAGTAACCAAGGAAATGTAGCAATTTAAATATGTGCAATCATCCTCCTCACCTCTCTCTCCATTTGTTGGTCTTCTGCAATGTTTGAATATGCATGTTCGTGGAAAATGTATAAATTGTTCCCTTCATCGACTGGGCTGATTTAATTTGCAAGGCACTTACATACTGAGGACTGTTCTCTGCTGAAGCAGTGCCTTTAGAGAAATTAATTCTTCTAATCTAATCTAGTGTAACTCATAAATGTGATCTGATTTAGTTTGCAAGTTGTGTGGTATCCAGTAATATGTTCATTTTCTGCCATATCAATGGCCAAAAAATGGTTGGTTCTGTGTGCCTTGCTTGTACCATTGTAGCATTAATTTGCATCCCAGGAAAAGTTTTGCGTCAGTCCTACATGAATAAGAATATATTTGTTACCAGACTAAAGTGTTGCTCTATTTTTATTGATTCCAGTCTGTTAAGTGAAAAACCAAAGTTATGGAGACTAAATGCAGTTGTCAGTGAATAGCAGACAGGCTCTCCCAGTGTATTGCAGAAGCACCCATCACTGGAGAATGTAGGTGATGAAATAAGCAAGTGTGTAGTTTTCACAGGATTTTTTTTTCATCATAAAATCTTCTTTCTAAATGAACACACCACTGTATCTCATCAGTTCTGGAAGAATTGATGACAGAGGAGCAATTAGGATGGAAGGATGGTGTGCACAGGACTCATCATGAGATAAGCAGCACTCTGTTTTGTTTATGACTAAAGCAGAGAGGTAGGGAACTATAAACAGCTCTGGCTGCTCCCTGTTCTCTGCTCACAGATTCAGCCAGGAATCTCTGCCTGTGATTTTCCTCTGGTCAGGAAAGCACCAGGACTAAGACTGCATGTTCAGCATCCGTGTGCTTGGCTGTTGAGGAACGCCTGAAAAAAATGAAAGCATTTTACACATGACCGTCAGTACATAAAAAAGAGACGGAGTTTTTGAGAAACAAATCCACACACTTCTGTTGATGAGTCATCTAAAACAAAAACAAGTGGTTCAATAAAGAAAATTAATTAGCATGTTATTAGAAATTAACATCCTGGGGAGTTAAAGAAACAAGTCAGTGTAAGGTTTAGAACAAACAGGTTACAACAGCAGCCTTTTTGCTCCCCAAGCAAGCAATGGCTGACTGTGAGACACATCCCCTCTCTCCACAGCTTGCTGAGTTGGACACCTTCCTTGTTTTGAAATGAGCTGCCTTTGGGAGCTGCCTGGCTTTAATGATAAAAAGAATCTAAGCAACAAAGTTAGGATTAACTTGAAGACAGCTGAAGTGAAGTGAGAAGTACACTGTCTCAAGATAGCACACAGTGATAGGGGCAGGTTTATAAAACTTGTAGCAAGTTCTGGCCATTTTCCAGGCTAAGGCCTTGGCATGGACTTTTCCCTGGTGATAAATCCCAGTGAAGCCAGTGGATTCAGTCATACTTAAAATTATCTTGAAAGGGGATTTGCACTCTCACACAGAAATGCACCCATATATTTGTATGGTCTCCAAAAATCTGCAAGGGACGGGGCAATATTTTTGTTTTAAAAGGATTCGGTATTTCAGGATTTCAAGTTTCCTAATGAAGTAGAAAATGGACTAGAAATAAACATGGTCTGATTGTGCACAGTAAAATGTCAAAAAATAGAGGTATCGAGCAAATTCCATTGGGACCTGTAGTAAAACCAGTACTAGCTGCAACTGGTTTATAGGCACATGTAAATTGAACACTAACCAGATTTTCAGACAATAAAAATGATGAGGGGTTGCAAATGCATTGGAGAATAGATAGAAAAAAAGAGAATTATCTAAGGAGTCTAGTGGCATGTGCAAACAACAGTAGGATAAGATTTAATTTAGATAGATGCCAAGTAATTCAGCTACAGAATGCTAATACTGAGCTGAAGAAATAAATGCATGATTGTAAAGAACAGCACAGTGACAGAGGTCCTTGGGTGATAATAGATGACAAATTAAAAGAAAGGACAAAATGTGATGTTGTTCCAAATAAATAATTTGCTGATTGTTTTATACTTGCATAAGAAAGTAAAACAGTAATTACATTTCTTCTTCCCTCCTCACTGTCTGACTACATAAGAAAGTAGTAAAGGCAATAAGAGTTAAATATGAGTTAAAATAAATAGCAAGAATTCAATGAAGGATAATAACAATATGGAAAAGCAGATTGCAGGGCACAACCACAAAGAGAAATTGAAGGAACCTATGTTGTACAATTTACAGAAAAGATGAAAAAGAGGATGAAAATATTTATTATACGACAGAATAGAGGTCAAGGAATTATTCTGTATGGTAAAGGACAGCTGGGAGTAACTTGAACATTGAAAAGGGAAAATTACTTTTGACAGCAAAGGGAAAAAAATAACCTGCCAACAACAGGGTTGATGAGACAGTGGAACGTTTTCTAAAAAACTTCTTAGAGACCCCATCACCTAGACTGCAGGTGGTTATGAGAGGACATTTAATGAGTTCATTATGTGGAAGATGATTGTATGTTAGTGCTGAGGGTTGAAATGAGACTCAGTAACCTAGGATACGTGTGCATTCCATTTATCGCTGATTCTGAGTACAAAAAAATCATATTTTTATTCCTCAGCTGTAAAGCCCAAAGAAATCTGAATTCATTCTTTGCAATTGTTATGGGTCTCAACACTGCATCTGTCAGCCGGCTCTCTCAGACCTGGGAGGTAAGACACATCTTTATATCTTTCAGACACTGTCAAAACCATTTTGCACAAAGGCTATGTACTGGTGAATTGCCTTTTCTTTCTGATTATTGTTTTCTCATGCTGAAATCAAACATGGAGGGAGTGTTGGTGGAGAAAATTCTTTGTGGCCTGAAACCTTAGATATGGTGGTATTAAAAAAAAACCCCAAAACAAACCTAAATGTGTCCTTTCAGAGTTTTAAATAAGAACAAAGCATGGAGATCCTAGCCTCTTAAAAAAATAAATTATTCTAGTGTTTTAAGTAGATGTCAGAACAGCAAGTTCTGCAAAGGTGGCTCCAAACAAGCAATACTTTATAATGGGATAATTTAATTAAAAAGCCAAAACAACAAAGTAGAAATAAACCTTCTCTAGTTGTCTTTCCTCAGATTGCTTTTTTTTTTTCAACTGATCATCTTGAACAACAAAATTAGGAAGTGAGCCACGAATAAGGGGCATACTGGAGAACAGAGATTATTTGCTTAAGAAGCTACTGGTTGCTACACAGAGCACGAGTGTGTTTAAAGGAGGGTCCCACTGGGATCTGTATTTATGTTGTGGATTTTTTGTTTCCATCCAAGTGACATCCACACTAAGTGTACCACCAAGTGGTATCCATGTTGAGTTATAACATCTGCAGGGTTACTGTGTCTGCCCATGAACCAAATTTTGGGGAAGGACTAATTGAGCAGGGTGGTTTGAATTCTTATCCTTCCTTCATGCCCTTAACAGCACAGGAGGGCAGTACTCCAAAAACATCAACCTGTAATAGAGAGTGACAGAGAAGGGCTGTGACCTCCTTGCAGATCATCTTGAACACCAACAGCTGGGACCAAAGGGCCATTAGAGACTTACAGACCTGTCTGACACTGTCCAGAGAAAAGTCTCCCCCCTTAGCTGAAGCCATACATATGGAAACATCACTTGTATATCTGAGGCTTTCACACACATAGAAACAAGGGCAGTGGCTGCTTACAGGGACTTTGATAGGCAAGGAAGAGCTGACTTAAATAAGAGATAAAACAAAAGTTTTAGAGGAAAAGTACATGCCTGAGGATGATGATACAGAAACCCATTGCCTCTGATATCTCTAAAACACCTCTCTGGGGAAAATTTGCCCTGGCCTCCTCCTAAGCTGCCTTCACTCCATTTCTCTGGGCTTTGGTAGGAAAGTGGAAGAGACCAAGTATGGTCTCAAGGGCAGTGATACAGATCTCTCCTGCACAGAGCCACACAGAATTCTGCTCTGTGCTGAGGCCTCGGGAGATCATGCGCTGCCGGTGGATTTCTCTCAGGAAGAGCAGAATGTGTTGCTTGTCGGAACAAAGAGTGCATCTGCATATGTACCGCTGTAAATATGTCACGTTTCTGTGTGTAAAATATTTATCAAGTCACATCCTTCCTTTATTTTATTTGTAAAACTTCATTGCACTGGAAGTTTCAAAAGCAGAAGGTTATTTGCATTAGTAATGTGACTTCTAGAAAGTAGAGCAATGTTTTTAAATTAATTATAATTACTTACACATGTAAATGAAACAACCTAAATTTAAGCAGCCATTTAGACACTAAATCATATTGACTCTGCACTTGATTTCTTAAACAAGTAGTATTCTCCCAAGCATATTCTACTTTTTTTTCCTGGAGTATCCAGTGTTCTAATGAGCCTCGCTTTCCCTGATTTAAGATAGAAGAAAACATGCACTTGCAGTTCCATGTTAAATCATTTTAGCATTTTAACAGTACACATCCACTTAATCTAATTGTTCTAAATCTCTTTTCTCTTGGTAGTGTCACTGTGGCTGTCAGGATCTAAGGACAAAGACAAGACAGGATTTGTACTAAGAGGGGATCTCTTTTGCTAGACTGATTACTATGGCTGGAAAAAGTAGACAGACTTTTAAGGTCCACACATTATTCTTCAATTCTGAAATACCAGCATGAAAATTTAAATTTCAAAACAATTGATTTGAATGTGGTAACGTGAATCCATTAAGGCATCTTAGAGACAAAGAAAGTGGATGCTTGTGGAGTAGAGCAGGTGTTGGCATGAGGGACAAAACAGCAGTTTGTGCCTGGGCTCCCTTAGAAAGTGTTTTATGCACCTCTCTGTGGGATTAGGATCGGATACCAGAGACAGAGTAATCAGTTTGTTAAGGAAATGTCTCACTTTGGCACCAGTATGTGCCAGTGTTAACCCTGGTGTGATGTATAAAACAGCGCTGAGTGTGACACCTGTTAGTTTCTAGAACCCATGTTCTGGGGGAAGATTGATTGCAACAAAGGATTTAACATGGATGTGATCAGTTTCTGAATTCTCAGCCTGTGCTACTGCTTCTAGCTTGACATGGATTTAGTCATGGAAGCTGGGGAAGAGAATAAAACCAGCTGCTAACAAGCAGTTTCCATAAGGGAAGGATGCAGGTCCCCAAGATGAGGCTGCAGGGCCCAGTGCCTTGCTGGCATTGCACTGAACATGGTCTGCAATTAGGGCTCTGGGAGCCGAGGAGCCAGGGTTAAGTGCATGTTGGTGCTTTCAGCAGGCACCTCACCCAGAGCAGTCTCATGGAAAAAAAAAGCCTCAGCATTCTTCTGCCTAAATCAAATTCTCTTTTTTTTTTTCCTTTCTTTCCCTGTCTTCAGAAAATTCCTGGGAAATTCAAGAAACTTTTCACTGAGCTTGAAAGTTTGACGGTAAGTATGGTGTTGACAGCAGAAGAACATTGCTAGCTTTACCTGCCTTCCTTCTTCCTAATTTATTTGGGGTCTGCTTGTTATTGTCTGGAGCTGGACTTGTCATGTCAGATCCATAATTTGCTGAAGGCCATGTGCCTCTCCAGAGCTGCGAGGTGGTCTGCAAACATGAAAAGGAGAGAGGCTCTGTTCCTGACAGAGGGAGGAAGAGCAGAGAGAGGCAAATGTAGTATTGGTTCACCAGCATCAATTTGGGAGCTGTTCTTTTGCCCTGGTAGTTAATCAGCCTTTATCTGAAGCAACATGCTGCAGATCAGGAGAAAAAGCATCCAGCTCAAGTTTTAAAAAACAAATGTCAAAATCTGAGGCTTGAGGGTCTTTGTCAGCATTATCAAAGCAGAATAAACAAATGTTTCCTCTGGCTGTCATGGAAGTGGGTGCATGCTAAGATCACTGCCTGGTGTGGGGAACAGGAGATAACAGCCTTTACCAGCTGTCTTGCTTCTGTACTTGGAGTTCTTTATAAATGAATGTGTTTTAAAGATCCTGTGTGAGCTGGTGTACAAAATGTTTACATTGGAAATTGAGATGACTCATTGAATTGCCTACACAATCCACTGAAACATCCTACCTTATTGTCTTTGAAAGTCTCCATCATGCTCCATGGATCTTAAAGCAGTTTTTGTTGGGATTTTTTGTTGCTGTGGTGGTGATGTTGGATTTGGTTTCTTTAAGAAGAAATTGATCAGCAATATATTTGGAGATACATTTTTGTGTTATATAAGAAGAGATTTTGCTAATAGAAATTTGTGGGGAAATTACAGAGCAGTCCAAGTGAATCTATTCTGCAGCTTCTTCTCAATTTAGCACTGCTTCATCTAGAGGAACATAATTGCTTTTGTTCCTTTCGCTGTTTATGTTTCCTGTTCAGTTTAGCATGTCAGCTAGCTTAGAAAACCTTTAGCTACCTTGCATCCCAAAGAAACCTTTTATAGCTAAATCATGTTCAGATCATAAGCCTGTAATGGATTTAGAATTGCTCTTTTTATAGCCTATTGATTTTTCTGTCTATTACTCAAATGGTTTTGTAGGATCCTTCTCTGAATCACAAAGCTTACAGAGATGCATTCAAGAAAATGAAATCTCCGAAAATCCCCTTCATGCCCTTACTTCTGAAAGGTAATGTTAAAGCTTGGCTGCTCTTCACTGCTGCTAATTAAAATAAGTGTAAGGTGATTTTTCTTTCAATGCTCTTAAGATGATATGACAGATATAGTGGTATCGACAAGGTAGCACTTGGTCTGGGAAATAAACAACTTCCTTTTAAGACAGGGGGAAGATGCCAATTTCCACACAGGCCTTAAAACTTCATATTGTCCTGTCAAGTGTGGATAGAGCTGTGTGCTTTTGCTTTGGCCACATCTTCTTCAGTGAGGTGTGACCCTGCAAGCCCCTGAACCACTGGCCTTGGTCACACTGCCTGCTGGGAGATGTCTCCCTGCTTTGCTGGGATGAGCCTGCCCTGGTGCCACCCTGAAAGCAGAACCTGCCCTGTCTGTCTGTCTGTCCTGACAGGAGGGGATTTCCAAGCCTCTTATAGCTCTGAAAGAGATAAATAAAATCTTACTATCTAAAATATATTTTTTTAAAAAAAAATCTTAAAATAAAGTCCAAGTATTTGCTAATGCAGTGATCTGGGCAGCTAATTAAGTGGCAAGTATTTCAAATATTCCATTGTCTTGGAGTCATTAATTATTAATTGCCTAGTCTTTGAACATGGCAAATTCATTTGTTTATTCCTGTATTTTGAAAGTGTTCTCTTTAGGCTGTTTATGCCAACCTGCTGCTGCTGCTGCTGTGAAATGTTTGAAGGCAGTTCTCCAGATCAGTCGGTGACAGTTTGGGAGCTACCAGACACTTCCCCTATTTGCACACATCAAAGGAGTTTGCATTAATTCAGATGGATACAATTATCAAGGCTTCACAATCAATATTTTTAAAGTGTTCTGGAGTATGTCTTGCCTGCAAACAAAGGCAGCAAACATAAGTCACTTCTAGCAATCATGTCTGCACAGCATTAAAATATGGTGTATAAGAGCATGCACCTAGACAGCATTTGTATCTTTAACTTGGGTTTGAGATAGCAAGAACACTTTGAAATTAATGCAGTAATGTCCTTCAATGCAGTGGTCCATAAGGAGATGTTGCCAAGGCTGGTAATTCCCAAAGTATTGCACAGTGCAATGGAATTTATTCCATGTCAAGCATATTTGTATTAAGGTCATTTCCAAGACCAGTAAAATAGGAATGGGTAACATAGAAATTATTAATAACTCAGCAAATTGCTGTATTTCATCACAATAGGAACAAAAGTAGTTTCAATTAAAAAAGAATGAAAAATCTTAAATTATGAAAAATAACTTCAGAGTGTCCTTTAAAAAGTTAATTAAATTTAAATGCAGAGCTCTCACAGCACACAGACACAGCTTTTGAAAATCAGGCAGATTTTTCAAATGTGTAATAAAATACTGTGATATACCCTTATAACCTAGTTCAGATGCAATTTTCTGCTCCACTGAATTTATCTAGACTCTTAGTTGTTGGCTGCAAAGCAAATTTCTGTTCCTTCTGCCCTCAGAGATATACACATTGCTGTCAATGACTTAAAAAGCTGTTTGGAAATTTCTGCTTCCAGTATAGGTTTTTCATTAGAAGTGATGGGCAGTTTTTAACTGCACTGATATAGACACAAGCACTGCCTGTGTCCTGAAGTCGTGTCCTTTCTGTGTCCCTTTCCCCCACAGCAGCCCAGCAGAGGAGGTGCAGAGGGTTGTGCTCCCTCCTTCCCTCTGTTTTTTAGGATGCAGCCCAGGGGTAGGAGAGGTGCTGGAGGTTTTGGCACATTGTGCTGTGTTTTCTGCATGTCCAGGCTGGTACCCTGTCTGTCCCAGCCCAGCTGCCCTAGGGGCTCTCCATCACCCCCCAAAAGGGTCCCAGCCCTGGGTTTCCATCAGCATTTGAACCCGTTTAGCATTTCAATTCCAAGCAATTCCAAAATGCCCCTGAGGCACAGAAGGGAGCCTTTGAAACCCAAGGAAATAAATCAGGTTGGCTGTTTTGAGGGAGGGTGGAGGTGGAGGTGGATATGGGGTGGTGTGCCACAAAGCTTCCCTACAGGTTTCCACTCCTGAAATCCCCCAAACCATGGGGTCCATGTGGGTATCAGAGGGAGTCCTAGAGGCGAGGACAGGAGAAATGCACACTGGTGGGCTGGAGGCTGACACCTCTGCTGAGAGGAACACTTGTCCCATTTACCATGTGCTGTTCTCCCACGGGCAGACACAGCTGTGCCTTTTGAGGAGTCATGGTATTGGAGTGGCAACTCTTGCCTTTAGGATTTTTTCTCCTCATGGGTCTCCTGGGCACCCTCACATGCAGGAGAGAGCTGATGGGGGCATGGCTGTGGTGCTCCTGTCAGTGTTCTCAGTAACTTGGAGGGTGTGCTATTGAAGTCAGAGCTTCCATTCCCACAGGTAATCTATTCATATTCTTGGAACCTTATGTCCAAGATAAGTCTCACTTCTGACCTAATTCGCATTAGAAAAACAGAGAAAATGGCCTTGAGCTACTGTTTTAATTGTAATCTTAACTTGGCAACATTTATTTTGCCTGATACTCCCTCCAGTTCATTACACTGTGTTCAGTTCTCTTCCTCGAGCCAAGTGTAGACCTTTTCGTTTTCCCCTGACCTTTTCGTTGCCTTTGCAAATTCCCTCCAACAACACTACATAAAAGTGCTTTTCCACAGTGTGTAAATATTGTTGTTATCTAATAATCTCTGCATGCCATCATTAGGCCAGGCTTTTGTTTCACTGTTACAAGATATTGTGTCAATCCTTAATGGGATACTTTCCTTTTTTTTTTCCTTTTTTTTTTTTTTTTTTTTGTTGTTGTTGTTGCTGTTTAGTAATTTTATTTATTTGCATTAAAAAAGAGGTTGTGAATAGTAATTGTTTTTCTTTTTTTCTTTTTTTTATTTTCAGATGTAACATTCATCCATGAAGGAAATAAAACGTTTCTGGATAACCTTGTTAATTTTGAAAAGCTGGTAAGCTAATTTTGTCCTTCCTGTTTTTCAAAGCATTCATGTTCTCTTCTTCCCTTTGCTTTCCTTATCTTGTAAGGTTTTCTTCTGGCTGAACCAGGAAGAAATAAACAGGGGTAAAAAAGAGCAAGCAGGATGAAACAGCCAAGTCTGTTTCCCCTGCCCTTTTCATCTGCTTCTCTCTCTTCTCATTCCTTCCTCCTCTACTTCTGTGTAAAATGGCTAAACCAATAATGGCCATCATCACTGCTACACAGTCCACCCTTCATTTATACCTGGTGATATTAATTCCTTTGCACCACCTTGTGGGCTGCTTCTTATGACTTAAATTCTCCTGCATCAGTTTTCCAGCTTTCTCTGAATTGTTTCCTTTATTTTATTTTTTTCCTCAAGGCTTCTCTAGTTTATCACTTAAAGAAAGATTCCTCTAGTTTATCACCTGCCAGTGGTATTGTAATTTTAGGCATCTTAAATGAAAGTGAAACTTTTTGATCTATGTTAAACGAGGAAAAAGATAATGCCTGAAATCCAAATTAAACTGATTGTAAATATCATTATTGTAGTTTTTATGCAAAAGGGCACTTGATAATGTCTTTTTGGCCACATTCACTCTAGGCATCATATAACATCTACTCTGGCATGGGATTACTGAAAGAGGTTTGAGTTGCTTAATTTGTGCTGGTTTTTGGTGGTTTCTTTGGTTTTTGTTGTTGTTTTTTGGCTGGTTGGTTGGTTTTGTTTAGTTTGGGGAGTTTTCTTTGATAACATTTTCATGAGGTCACTCGGTCTGTTCAACCTAGAGATGAGCTCATCGCAGTCTAGAACTTCCTCTTGAGGGGCAGAGGAGGAGCAGGCACTGCTCTCTTCTCTGTGGTGACCAGTGACAGGACTTGAGGGAATGGCCTGAACTTGAGTCAGGGGAGGTTTAAGCTGGGAATCAGGAAAAGCTGCTCACCCAGAGAGTGGCTGGGCACAGGGACAGCTCCCACAGGGAAGTGGTCACAGCACCAAGCCTGACAGAGTTCAAGAAGAGTTTGGACAATGCTGTCAGGCACGTGGTGTGACTCTTGGGGATGGTGCTCTGCAGGGTCAGGAGTTGGACTCAATGATCCTCGTGGATTCCTTCCAACTTGGGATATTCTGTGATTCTGTGGCACTGAAAGCCAAAGTCTACATATCTGAACAGTGGTGGAGTAGAGAAGCTTGGATTTTTATAAGTTTTTGTTTGGTTGGTTTTTGTTTTTTTGTTTTTTTTGTTTTTGTTGGCCTGTAGTTTTTGACCAAGAAACCAAAATATTCTTTGCAATTGTCTAGGTGTGCCATAGGACTGTTAGTCCAGATGGCTGTAGCTGGGGAATTGTGCCCTACTGCTTTCTCCATGTGTTTACACTTGTTTGGGAATGAAAGCACAACCAGAGTTATTAATGAACCAGCTGTTGAACTTATTTTCACGTTCTATCATAATATACATTGTCTTTCAACTTGCAAGCAGATGTAGACTCTGACTTTTGAACCTGAGCTCCTTTTTTTCGTGTTTTCTATTTAATTTCTGTACCTTTTCCTGTTGCAGAGTTTACAAGAATACTGATTTGCATTTAATGAAAGGTTTTTTTGTCTCAAGTCCATTAACTGTTTGACCTTTAGGTGCTTTCATAAAACTCATTAGCATGTTCTTCTTCATTGCCTCTTGGAAGTACATCCAATTAACATGTAAATTAAACTAGCCCTTGATGCACCATAATTGTTATTAAAATCCCCCCACTGGCCCGTATATTTATTTAGTGAATATGTAGGATCTAATTCTTGTCCAGTCTTTGGCTTCGTTCATCTGTTTGTTTGTTGTGTAATCGTGTATATGTTTAATGTATGCTGAGCTTCCTGGGTAAGAATCCCTTTCCTTTCTGTCTCCACTGTGTCTCCAGAGGCAGTGGGAGCTTTGCTAATTGACTTCAGTGAGCCAGGATCTCACCTTTTCCATTCAAATGGATAATGGGCATTTTAAATGGCAGGGGGGGAGAGGCTGAGGTGATGGCTGTGGGGTGAAGGTTGCTCAGATTGACACTTCCTCCGAATTATCATTCAGATCACGCTCTCAGAAACATGCTGTCTCATGCAGCCCTGTACATATGAATGCAGGCAATAGTGCAAGCTTAGGAAGTGGGGGCTTAGGAGAGATTTAAATATCAGTGTAGTGGAAACTCAGGCTGCACGCTGGTATTACCCTGGCTCAGCTGGACGTTCAGGGATTTAGTCAATGGCCACGAACTCACAAGATGCATTACACGTGATCACGTATTCATCAGTCCGTGCTTCTTCTCTAATTATAAGGGCTTTGTCCCGAAGAATAATGTCCTCCTTGGTGTTCTCTACTGAACACTGGAATGCTGAGCACTTTCTGGCCTTTGCTGAGAAAAATTAGGATTGACATTGACTCCTGCTCGATTTGGATCAAGCCACTGAACCTCACCTGCAAATTTGCTGTTGCAGAAAAAGAAGAAAAGAATTATTCTACCATAGCAGATTACTGCTTTGGGGAAAGAACTTACTCACTGTCATAAATGACTAGAATTTCCACTTATGAATTTCAAAGCAAAGATGGTTTCTCGTGTCTCCGTTTGGATCACTATTTTGAAATATTTCATTTCTGCATTAAACATCTCACCTGAAGGAGGACTTGTCAGTCTGAACCATTATTTTTTCCAACTATATTAGTTTTGTTAATAAAAGATCTTCTTTCTCCCTACATTCCCTGCTTCTTTTATATTCTTAGAACTCAGCAATCCTACCATGACTGAATTTGATTTGACATGAAATGATAGCAGTGGATACAAAGTTAATTCAAAATGTAAAGAAGGAAATTTACAAAGAGAAGAAAAATAAGTGATCTTTTTCTCAGGAATGTTACCTAGCTTTAACAAAGGTGAAGGGGTTGCAGTGGTTTATTTAACTGCATTTTGGGTAAAGTCTAGTCTATTACACTGTTAGATTAATTTAGTATCATACCTTCTTCATACTAAATCTGAAGGAATAAATGAAAATATAGTCCTACACAGTCACATCTCAAGGCATTTCCATGGCATTTTCTTAGCTATTTCACTGAAATGTGGCTTCTTCAGGTCCTTCTCTCCAGCCATCAGCTATGTCTGAGCAATGACAGGTCTTAGCCACACTCCAGCAAACTCTATTACAGGTCAATGGCCATTGCCATTTTTGATAACACCTGCTTACCTAGAGCCTTCAGCTGTAAGGACAGTGTACATGCAGCCGTGGGTTCTCAACCCACATCCCCAAATATCTGTCCAGCCCCAAGCCTGAGGCTCTGCTGTCATCAGTGGGAGGAGTGCTAATGGTCCTGGGTAGGCTGAAAAGCCCCAAGAAATGTGTGTTACTCTTCACACTAACAAGTGTGCAAGCACCTGTTTAAGCAGTCAGGAGATAGCATTTGCTTTGCAGATACATTGGCTGACTTTCTGCATTACTTTTGGATCCCAGAGAACTGAAACCAGAGAGAAATGCCTAATTAGGGTGCTAAAACCAGAGGATTTAGGATTCTGCTTTAAATGTTGCACAGATAGGTTCTTCCCTTACCAGAGCATTGCCTCCAGAAGCCAGTCTTGGGAAGGACCTTCACAGTGACTGACTACAAAGGAGACACAGAAAAGAGTTACAGAGTGTGTGATGTGTGGGTCTCCGACTTCTAAAATCCAAATGCAGAGGCTGTTGGCTGGGAAACATCACAGTAGCAGCACTGGTGGAAGTTTTAGTACTGCCAGCACTCACATTATTGATCGTGAAATCTGGATCATCTCATTAGAACTTCATTATAATCAGTGCAAGGACATCAGCACAAGAGATTGTATAATTTCATGGCAAATGAAGCACAGCGGGTAACAAGAAAAATTATTTTGATTTACTGATGAAAGAAATATGAAGTTTCCATTAGATGTGCTCTTGTGATAAGCTTTTCTGTGGAGGAGCCTTGTAAGCCACTCCCAGGATATTGAGAGATGAGCTTTTCCACATCATTCTGGTCTTAAACATACTCTGTTCAAGATGGTTAATCCCTTCCACTGCTAATAATTTTTATGGGAGATGTGAAATGGAAATCAGCTGTTTGCATGAGCTTTCAGATCATTCCTGCTAACAGCAATTTGCTTCCGGGACTTACTAGATTCGGTGAGGAATTGCCTCAGAAACAGTAAAATTTTAGAAAAGTAATGGCTTAAGAACTTTATGGGTGGTATCTAGTGGAAAGAAGCTCCCTCTACTGATTTGTAGTGAATTATCCCAATTTTTGTATAAATTGATGACCTGAGCCTGAATGAGAAACTGAATTTAAACCTTTTGTTTCCTCTGCTTAATGAAAGTGAACATCCAATATCCCTGTAAGCACCAGCTTTTATTAAAATAGCATACCTACAGGACAGTTTAACTTGGTTCATAGGTGTGGAGATGTCAAGATGCTTGCTCTGCAGCATTTAGGCTATGGGCTCTTTATTTTTGTGCTGGTTAGGCTGCAGAGAACTGCCTGGCTGGTAGTGGTGACTGAGTGTGGTAGGCATTACACAAGTGTACACTAAGAGGGGCAGTCAGTGCCACAAAGAGGCTTACAGTCTGATTATACAAATGTGGAGACAGCAGGACAGGCTGCAGACTACACAGTACTCAGATAATGCACTAAAGCTGGGGTGGAACCCCAAAGCCCTCACCCAGCCCACAGGCCCTCCTTGCTGTAGCAATTGTTTGGTTATTTTTCACTGCCACTTTCCATGGGTTCCTGGGGAATTGTTCTCGTTTAATCTGTGTGATATCAAAAAGATATCTAGACTAACCCTGTTCCAAAAAATGGTATCACTAAGGTAAAGAGCAAAGTTTCTCCTGCTGTCTTCATTTTCTACCTTACCACAGTTGTTTTTTGCTGTACAGGATAGGGCAAGGAGATTTGTCAGGCTTTTCTAATGAAGGAATCTGTCCCAGGTCTTTGCACTGATGTTTATTATTTTGTCTTTGCAGCACATGATTGCAGATACTGTTAGGTCATTGAGACATTGCAGAAATAACCAATTTGGTGAGTAGACAAAATTTCCTACTTATTTTGCCTTTGTACGTCCTTGAGGGTTTGTTGAGTTTTTGGTTCGGTTTTTCTCCCCCTGTTTTCTTTCCAATTGCTCAGGTTTACTACAGCAGCAGAATGTGGTCAAAAACTATTTAACCAATGGGCGAGGCAGGGCATCATTGTTGGAAGATTGACATAGCAAAAACCGCAGTTGGAGGAAGCTTTAGTTTACAAAATGTTTCTAGGAACAGCTTCCAAATTGTAATAAATTACTTTCCTGCAAAAATTGCTGTTTCTTGAAAGCCCTGTGTAAGATTTGTGCCAGCTGCACTTAGTCATGGAGGTCTCTGGTGTATGCTGCTGTTTCTGCCTTTCCCAGCTATAACCGAGTTAGCTCAGTCTCCTGCCAGTCTGAGTGGTTTGGTAGGGAATTCACAGCTACATTGGCTTCCAGCAGCTCAAAGATGCTACTCATCCCCACAGCTTTTTACTCAGCTCTTCACCAAGAGCAATTGATTGCTTATCTGGGCTTCTTAAGGACATTTCACAAAACTGTAGAAGTCTTGGAGGTATGAAGGTCCTGTGGGTTTTGTGAAAGTGGTTGAATAGGAAGAAATGAGGGGGTTGTTTCCTCTTCTAAGGGAAGCTGCAAATATAGCTGTGCCTGCTTTAGACACTGGAGGATCTATGCTGAAGGCAATGATTGCGAGTGCCTCAGCTGCACAGAGGACTTTTTTTTGTTTGCTTTTTTAAAAATATGTTTTTTGTTGTTTCCGCCTTATTAGCCACTAGAGAATCCAACCCTAAGGGACCGTGCCAGAAAACTTCAGCTCTCTTTGTTCTGCTGCTTGCAGAGGAGAAACCTTGCTTCTCTCCTTCTCAGTGTTCTTATTCTCTGCAGAGATGTTAAATACAGGAAGGGGACACAAGAACTACGTTGGGAAGCAGTTAGTTTTTAAGCCAAACCCACTAAACCTGTTGTTTATTGAGGCCACTGAAACCTTTCTTTCAAAGAGAAGTTCATAATTGTGCTGCAGCCTTGGGGAAAATAGAGTTGAATAATATCTTTTTTACACTGACTTTTCAGTGGCTGTCAGCATTGACTCCAACAAAAAGAATAATAATCATAATTTTAATTATGATTATGATTATTAAATACAGGTACCTTGGAGAATAATAGGTACTTTTAAGAGTTTTGTTAAACATTTGCCCTATAGAATTACCACATGTATGTACAGTATTACTTTTAAACAAAGGCTTCTCAGTACTACAGTTCTTGAGTAATTTTTCTAAATATATATATATATATATATATATAAAAACTACAAAAAAAACATATACACATGTATGTAAATGTATGTAAGAGAGGGGGAAGGAACACGATGTGCCTTCTTTTAATTCAGATACTGAAAGAAATATTGATAAGTCCAAACCATGCCTCTGTAAATTAAAATGGTTCCTACTTGGCATTATGAAAAGTACCATTGGTTCCTTTCAGTGATGTGAGGGATTTTTGCCCTTTCTCTGCATATCTTCCATCTTGTTTTTGCCTTTTTTATTTTTCCAAGTGATATTGTAAGTCTTGCAGCATAAATCCAAGGTTAATACCTGAGATTTATAATATAATCTGGTAGTTTGAAGTAGGCAATTGTTATTTTATTTTAGCACAGACTTGATTTATTGTGAAGCTGGCATTTAAAAAGCAGCTTATACAGGCATCCCTGTAGGCACTTTTTTCCCCCTAAAATTCATTTAGGCATGAAATGAATTCACTGAATATTTATTGAGACTTTATGGACAGTTTCCTTTTCTAGTGGGCTTATTTTGCTCTCAGGAATGTGAATCTTTCTACTGCATCAATTCCCAGATTGGCCTAAGAGCAGCAGGCATCTCACTGTAGGAAGGAATTCAAACAAAACTAAGCAAGGAGTATCATTATTGTTTATGAACTGTATCACTTGTATTAAGCTTGCAGGCCAAAGTGTTTCTGGATTAGAAACTGGTTAGGTTCCAAGTGAAACTTAAGTGCTTGTTTAATGGAAATAGCTTTTATATCCTAAATCCTGAATACAAATAATAGCATTTCCAAAGTGAGGAAAAGCAGCCTGAGAAAATAACATAATTCAAGCTTTTGTCATTTGAGGTGTTAATAAGAAATACAAATGTTTTTCACTATGTTCAGCACAGCTGCTGGGATCCTATTCCCTCAGAACAAAAAGGTCAGCTCTGTATCCTGACACAAATTTATCACATTATCCTGTTCTCTCCAACACAGCTCAAGTTAGATGGCTGCTCTGCAAGAGCTCTTTAAAGCAGCTGCCCAGGAGCCCCATTAGCAGCCACATGCAGAACTGGCTGCATTCACATCCCGTGTTACCCACACAGCATCACAGAGATGCACACAGGAACAAGAGGGATTGGTGATTCCTGGAAACTTTCTCAAACAGCTGGAGAGTGTGGAGAAAAGGTTGATAATGAAACAAGGGAGAGAGAAGAAGTGTGTCAGTGATTGGTTCAGGGAATTTTGAAAGGTTTTCTTTTTCAATTTATGGTAATATTATTAACAATTACTTGAGGACATGGACACAAATGGAGATTTCCAACCTTTGCTCGTCTGCCAGAAGTCAGCAATGTTGCTTTCTCTGCCTGTCTGCATGGATCTTGGGCTTGGCTTTCTTTTTTCTGTCTCTGCTAGTACCAGCCGTGCTGGAGGGTTTCACAGACAGTGAGTTCCCACAAGCCCATTTTGAGCATAAAGCTTGTAACAGAGAACAACTGCTATTCAGGCCACCCTTCAGTTTGTCTGTTGCACAGCTAATTCCTCTTGCTGTGTAAACTCCCATGAAATGAGAGCATGGCTTTTGTCTCTGTTACTAGATCAGAAATCAAAAGCCTATCAGATCAAAACGCGGGGGCCCGTCAGAGCAGCTTTGAAGAGCTTTCGTATCCATCTGCTGCACTGTCACCTTTCACCAGCTCTGAAGAAAATCATCCAGGGCCTGCTGTCTTGTGGAGTGTGTTAAAATTTTTAAAAAGTTGCAAGCTGGATTGCCCACCCCTGCTCAAGGTCCCATTGTGCTGCCAGAGCAGCACAAAGGAAGCCTTGATCCACCCTTACAGGGGATGGACTGCCTGTACTGCCAGCAGAACTTAAATCTTCCTTTTGGGAAGAGTCAGCTTCTTGCCATCCTCATGTCCCTCTCCTTTATGAGTGCTGGCTGCCTAGAATTGCCTATTTTTTTTTTTCTTCTTCTCCCCTTTTCTCTATCTAGCTGTTACCTCACGCATTGCACTTAAACAGCAAGTCCCTTGGATCACCGGCTGTCTTTCCTGTGTGCACCTGACAGGTGGCACAGCGGTGACTTTGTGACACAGGACAGAGAAGCAGCAGGCAAGGCACAGCTTTCTGATCCATCCCCTTTCTCCTGTCTTGCAGGCAATGAAGTTCCTTCGAAAGAGCACCACGAGCTGAAGCCATACGTCCACCACCTGCACGTCATCGACAACCAGCAAGCTCTGTTTGAGCTCTCTCACAGGATAGAGCCGCGAGCGTGAGCGTACACAGCTTCACATAACCTTGTAACTGCAGCACTTTGAATTAAGTGAATGTTTATGCCAAGCATGTTGCTTCCCTATATGAGAACGGTTTACTGAGTTTTATCAGTAGCTCACACGACATGCACAGGGAAATCAGGCAAGAGCCAGCAAAGGAGCTGCTCGCAGAGCTGCAGGGCAAGCTTGGTGCCATTCCCGCTGGTCACTGGGACCTGAGGGAGTGGAGCAGTGTCCTTTGAGCTCAGGAGCTTGGTTTCTGTGAAAATATCCTTTGGTCCAGTGCAGCTTTCAATGCAGATTCTGACAGTATTAGAAAGAAAGGAATCATCGTGTCACAGCAGCAAAACATTTCAGCAAGCAACATGCCGCAAGGGGCTTGATTCCCAGTTCACCACAGTATGTACCTCACTGATTCAAGGCTGCCAAAGTATTGTTGCCAAAAATAATGTGCAATCTGTGCAGCTCCCATGAGTCCACTGGAGCATAGTATCTGAAATGTGTGAGCAACCTAGAACAGGAATATAACAAGGCAGTGCAACCAGATGAAACTCAAGAGTGTGTTGTGATGTGGAGGTCAGCAGTAAACAGTTCACTCTGTTATGGCTCCTTTAAGGATATGCTTTATGAAACACGCTGTAAGAGCCAAGCCACTTCTGTTGCAATTTATGGACACAATTGTTTGTATACTGAAAACATGTTATTTCCTTCCTTTTCAGTTATCTCAGATTTAGCACTGGCTCCTGCAGTTAATGTGTTATAATAGCAGGAGTTTTGTCTTCTGCTTGGATTACAGCCTCTTTGATATCTATTCAGAGGCAAATGCCTAGATCCATCTGCATTTCTAATATTCTCCCCACAAGAAATACCATTTCAGCAAGTAAAACTTCACCTAACTTGCACATGCTTTTAAAGTTTTTAAAGAACAGAAAGGTGCCCCTTACAGGGAACCAGCGTAATTACCTGCATAGACACCAGGCTCTCAGCATTGGGGTCCCTTTTCTGCTTTTGTCCCTTTCACAGCTCTTCCCATGACAAATCTCACCTAGTTAAAAGTACTGCATCTGGGCCTGTGCTAAGGCAGCACTTCTAAAGTCATGTCTACAGCTGACCTACATCTTGAGCACCACCATCACCTGGTTTCCAGTGATAAGTTGCCCTGAAATGATCTAGTGAATGCCACAGGTGATGTGCAGGGTGCCCTTTGGCGCGTGTTTGTTTGTGCACTGACTCCCAGTGACGGTCCCTTTACAGAGCAGGGAGGATACATTGCATTGCTTGCCCATCTCTGCTGTATGTTTTCCACCTGAGGAAGACTTCCAAGAAAATGCTCCTTTACTAAAATGTGGGAACACTGAAGTAGCATGCTCTTCATCATTGTGTTATCTCTGGTTTAAAGGGATTTTAAAAAAAGCAGCTTTAACAAGTAGTCTGTGGGGGAATCTGTAGAATGCATTCAGTTTTCCCATCTGTGAAATATTGTATAGATCTATTGTAAAGGAAACAGATGTTTCAGAAATGTATTTGCTTGTACTTTGTTATTATCAAATACTATATGATTTTTTTTTTTTTAAGAAAAAAAAAATTCTTTTTACCCAGTAAAAAGAAAAAAAAAATAAACTCTTGCTGGCCATGGAGTAAAAATTTCCTATGTTCTTCTGTAGATGTGACTGCACATATTGTAAATAACTCTTTTGTGCAAACAGACCAAAACTGTTCAAATGAAGATACTAGCTGTGGTGGGCTCCTTTTTCAGTGAAAGAACAAAAACCAGATGCAATTTGTTGCTTGTGTTTTTGCAGTTCTTCCTAGGGTTACAGCACTTGGAATTCCCAACCTATACGCATTACCTGGATGATTTCCTGGGTTTTGAGCTCCCTCTTGTGAATTTTTTTTTTCTTTTACTGTGGCATTATTTTTAGGAGCCTGTATGTAGACAAGCCTGCATGCTTCAGCTTGTGTGGTGTAACACTCTAGTCCACAAAGTTGTTCTGGAAATCTGTGGGAGAGGGAGCATTCGAAGGTAGTCAGGGTGAGAAGGTGGGGCTGTTTCTCAGTTCACTGCATTTGGCTCTGGGACAGTTTTCATAGCTACCATGGATGATGAAGCAGCAGCTGTGTTGGAAAAGAATAAAAGAAAAGGAAATTAAAGAAGGGCTTTCTGCACCGCTGTAATTTCACACTAAATCAGGTGTTGTCTACCACTTGCAGCTGGCATAAAATCAGTCTGAAGGCACAGAGCCAGCATTAACCTTGCTGTCTGTGCTGTGACTAAATAGACAACCAGTCACAGCTTTAGAAACTAGTTTTTATAGTGGCTTGTACAGCTTGGATTTACGTTTTAGGTGTGAGGGTCCAACATGGCTGCATCAATTTAAAGTTGAAAATTGGGCCTTAGAAATGTTACTGTAAAGGAAAAGCAAATAGCCCAAATCTGTAGCTAATATGTCTAATTAAAAAAAGGCCCTTCTATGTCTTCATTCCACAGGTAAAGTATTGCAGAGCTTTGCTGCAGACTGGCAAGCAGTTTGAAGATGTGGAAGTTAGGAGAACTAGAAGTAAACCCTGTATTAGGGAAGGGCAACATTATACAGCCTCTGCCAGGGTCCAGCACTGGTGATATTGTGTGATTTTTTTACATCCTTCAATAGTGCAATTAGGTTATGTGGTATAAAAACTATAAATCTTGTAAATTCTATTTATCACAATTGCATCTGGGGTTTAATACTCTGCATACCCTTCTTTTTTAGTACCTAAGAGGAACTTAGAACAAAGGAAAGAGCTGTGTCACTTTATACATCTTTGATGTGGGATTTTGTGGCAACAAATTTAGATGTTTCTCTAACACAGCTTTTTGATTCCAGCATCATCTTGAATAGCAATAAATTTCATTTGCATAACAGTGGCAAAAGAAAGGGTGTTATCAGAAATAAGGCCTGTGCTGTAAAATCACAAAGAAAGATGTAAATATTAAACATTTTAGCAGAGTAATATTTATTTGCATAGCCTATTTATTGTCATCTTATACGCTGTTAAACACTGGGATGAAGTCAATGAGCTGAGGTAAGAACACCTGCCTGTTCTCTCTTGAGTGCCATAATGGTGTCAGCTTGCATTAAAGGTAATAAAATAGAAACCCCCAAATCAAGGTATTTACCTAACTTCTCAGGGACTACAGCTAGTAGTTATCCACCATCATGAGACCTGGTATGTATGAAATAATCTGATTTACCAGAATCGATGTTGCCAATGTTTTCCTTTGCATATTTCATGCTTGTTTGCCTCTGTACATATTATTGTGTCGTGTATTTATGAGAGCTAGTAAGCAATAATTTATATGTCAAAATGGCCAAGCAATACAAGGTTAAAACTTGTAGAAGCTACTGTTATGTTTATCTTGCATTTTCCAGTGTTTTTTAATATTGCTTTTCAAAATATAAAAACTACCTTAATGAAGTCTGGGCTCTGTGCCTTTATGCCTACCACACATATTTATTTTTCCTTTGTGGAGTATTTTACCTCCAGTCACTCAGTTCCACAGGCCCTCACTGCATTTGTGAGATGGATGCAGACTCACACAGAGGCTCGGGAGCCTGACCCCTTTCAGAGCTGCTCATCTGTCTCTGGTCAGTGGGACTTGCTGGTAGCGATGTTTCAAAGCAGGAGTGATGATAATGGGGCCTCAGCTGTGCCCTGTCATCACAGCACAGCCAAAGGGGGGCCTCCAGCCACCATGAGAAGTCCCTGTGGGAGAGGGGAGGAGTAAATCTATCTTCATATCCCCTGGAGTCTGCTTATTGGCACTTGATCCTCTTACTGAGGACAGCGAATGCTTTCCCTTGTCATCAGTCATCCCTGGAGCTGCTTCCTCTCCTTCCTCTGGGCTGGTCTGCAGCAGGAAGGCAGAGCTCAGGATGGGCTGCAAGTGCACTGTAAAGCAGCTGAGGCTTGCCTTGTCCTTCCTTTCCACTTGCAAACCCCGGGAGCCAGCAAGCCAAACCTGGCTATTTCAGGCAGAAATAACACTTGGTACTTACAACATGATGTCTGCTCACAGTGCTTTACAAATAGGCAGTACTTAATCCTCTGAGTGCCTGCACTTTAAGTAGTCTTAAGCCTGACCTTAAAAGTGTGCTAGTGTTAGTATACAGACAGGGTCAATTCTAACCTTAATATTTAAAGTAAGCCTGAATTGCTTACACTCCCCCGTAATGATGTTTAAAGATACATTACAAACAGACATCCTTTTCCAGATCCAGTTGCACAATCTGAAGAATTTATGGTCTCAGTGGTTTATCACTGTCCCTTCATTGGGGATCACTGCTTTCTCTCCATGGTGTACCCCAGAGGACTGGGAGAGAACCTCCAAACGCCTTGCAGTCATTAAGCCACACAAGCAAGCAGCTAACTTCGCAGAAAGGGCTCTCCTTCCCTCTACTGCCCCTGCTGCGAGACTTACAAGAGAAGAGTGATGGCATCTTTTAGATGAGTTGCAAATGGCAGGGTGTGGAGCTGAGGACAGCAGCCTTACAGCTCCAGGTGTGCTAGAAGAGCCACGGGAAGAGGCTGCTGGGCTGCGAATGTTGTCCCTTGAGACCATCTTACTAATCTGTTCCAATAAGGGTTCTTCATTCCCTCTTCTATCTCTCTCCAACAAAAAGAGCTTGATTGGCGAAGGCCTGCAATTTAAGTGCTGAAGGGACTCTGAATTTTAACTAAAGTAATCGGAGGGGTCTGTGATGAGCCATTCCTCCAGGAGCTGTGTGACCCCAGAGGCAGCAGGTGGGAGCAGTTTGCTGGGGGCCAGCACAGCTCAAGCTGAGAACCAAACCTCCCAAATATTTGCTGTGTTTCACATCCCAGGAAAATTTCATGCCACCCAGGGCCTGCTGTCTTCTGCCACGGGATGGCAACTGAAATGGCAACAGCAACACCCAAAGAAGGTAAGTCTCCCACTCCTACAGTGCCCACCATTTCACACTGGAGACTTGTGGGATGACACCGTACACTCATGGGTACAATAATCCTGCGAAATGCTTGTTGTTGTATGGGAATTAAAAGAATTGAGCAGTGTAGTTAAAGTCTGGAGGACTGAGGAGGCCTGCAAAGGTGGGCCAACAAACAGCTTCTGAAAGAAACAGAGTTCTCCTGCTTTCCCTCTTGTCAGGAGGAAGGTCTGTTGATGGCTTTGAGGTTAACCCAGCTGGTTCCAGCATGGTGCTAACAATGCTAAGGCTGTGGGTTTGGTCCCGGTAGGGGTTTAAGAGCTAAACCTTGATCATGCTTCTGGGCCCCTTCTCATTCAGAATATTCTGTGATTTCATAAGACCCCTGTTAACACCCTTGAGCAGCATCTGCCTCAGAGCCTTTAAAAATATGACAGTGATGCAGTCTGCATCATTTTGATTTTCAGTGCCCACTGCAGTGGTAAGCAGCTGCAGCTGGTGGTCTCCCCAGGAGGTTCTCACTACCGCTCACTTGCAGAGATGCAAATCCACGCATTCAGAGAACTCTCTGGACTTCAGCACGGCGTTTTCCTCTGTTTCTTATGCCAGGCAGGGAGAATGGCATTGTCAGGAAAATCCACAAACGCCAAAGGTTTATTTCCAAAAAGGAGACAGAGGAGCTCTTCAGCTTTATTCGAATAAAGGGAGAGAGCCCACTGGGGCACACACACGCGGGGTTTTCTCTCTCGGTTTTGGAGGGCACAGCCCCCTTTTATCCTGAGCTCACTGCTGTATGTTTCCCTCTTCCTGTCCCCTTGCTGAGGTATTCAGGAGGTACAGCCTTTCCGAACCGCATACCACATATCCCCCCTTGAATCTACTGTTTTACCCCCAAGCACGGAAACTCAGGCTGTGCAGACCCTTGTTTTGCAGAGCTGTTTGGGCTCTGCAGCCAACCTACAGCCCGAAGTTAGCAGAGACATTAAGACCCATTTCAAAGACGGTAACACCCACACCTTCACCCATCGAGCTTTTTTTGTACAGACATTACCTCTCCTCTCAGCAGGATCTGGAAAGCCTCGGAAAACTTCCTTACCCTGAACAGTGCTGCCGACCTTTTCCAGGGTCGATTTCCCCAGAGGATATTTCAGGGTAGAGGCAATCCTCCCCATTAAGAAAAATGCCGCCATCCTAGAGACACCAGGCAGCTAAAAACCAGGGAAAACCTCATTTTAGGGTCAGGAAAGAGAAGAGCCATTTGGGAAGTCACCCAAATGCAGCAGATGAGAAGCTGCTTTTTCATTCTCTGCATGGGTCTGATTGCTCCGGGATTTTTGGTTGGTGAAGTTGTTACTTTGCAGGGAGAGGTGGATAGTGCTGGGTTTGACTGTAAGTGGGGCTGATTCCTAATCAGAGCTTTTGTGGGCTGCCTTCAGTGCTTTTTACCGTCCTAGTGCCACCAGTTCTTATGCCTAAGGTTTCACCTTTCATCTCTGTGCTAAGGAGTCAGAGTACACCTGGGGGGTGCTAAGGTATAGTGAATCAAAAGAGCTGAGAATAAAATTTGATTGGAAAACCAAACTTTACCCTTTTTAGCTGAAAATGCGATTCACTTGTATAAGTTTATAGAAGTACATGAGCATGACATGCAGATGCCTTTAAGCAGAATCAGATGAGCTAAACCACAGTGAAGGACGGTAACTTGGGTGGGCAGCCTGCCTTGAGTAGATAGGTCTTAAAAGATAACCATCTTTTGTTGTGCAAGGAGATGGGCTATAAATTTCTTTGTCTTTCAAACAGATTTTCTTGCAGAAAGTTGTCAGGGCTTCTAAAACTTGCACCTTTTTTGTTCTGTTCTCCTGCTGTTGCTAACACAAATTAAATTCATCTCCTGTCTGCAGCAGAGAAAGGGCTGGTTCAGAGTGACTGCTAGTGCTCCAGATAAGGTTATAAAGAAAACTAAAGGAAAGGAAAAGTCTCCTTGTCCCAGCTGAGTGTGAGGCTGCCTCTGTAGGAAATGACTTAGATGGGAGTGCTGCTTAGCAGGGAAAAATGGCACTGGCAGGACTCGTCTATTTAACCTAAGTGGTGAAGTGTCCCTTGAGAGAGGTACTGCCAGCCGTGACAGATGGCTTGAAAGCTAAGAGCTGTGGATTGCCCGAAGGGAATTTACTAGCAAGTGTAAGCAGGGATGTTTCAGACCTAGAAATG